GGATGATGAGGGTGAATTTTAAAAATGTTTCTTGCATAAGCAAGCTCTTTTACACTCCTAGCCAGCTGATGTTTTTGGAAATTGAAAGTGTGTGTGTGTTTCTTAAATCTTTACCTAAGGATATGTTTTTATTGATTGATAGAAAGAGAGAGGAGAGAGAAATATCGATCAGTTACCTCCCATATGCGCCCGGCCAGGGCTTGAACCTGCCACCTAATATGTGCCCTGGCTGGTAATCGAACCCACAAGCTTTTGGTGAAAGGGAGGTTGTTCCAACCACCTGAGCTACCTGGCCAGGGTGGAAATTGGAAGTTTTAAGACAAGTTCTTTCATGCAAATCTGTTTTTCCCTTCTCTTTGGGATAGCAATATCAGTTTTTATGTGAACCCCCCTCCTTCCCATCTTCCATTTTATTCAATCTTTGCTGAAGTTTAATTTACGTATAATAAAATTGACACGTTTGAAGTGATATTTGGAACATACCTAGCCTTGGAGTCACCGCCCCAGTCAGCACAGAAATTTCCATCCCTCTAGAAACTTCTCTTGTGTTCCTTTGCATTCTCCCTTAGCAGGTCCCATGACTCCTTAAGTCTTGAACCTCTGAAAACATTTGACCTTAGACACAGCATTTTATAAATTTAAAATCATGATCATGCACAGATATTGGGGCCCTTTCTAAGAGGCTGTGGACGAACTCTAGAGATCAAGGAAATAGAGGTTGCTCCTTTCCAAGACAATTAGTGTAGATGTTTATATTTTTATTTTTTTAAAATATATTTTATTGATTTTTTTACAGAGAGGAAAGAAGAGAGATAGTTAGAAACATAGTTAGAAACATCAATGAGTCTTCAATCAGCTGCCTCTTGCATGCCCCCTACTGGGGATGTGCCCGCAACCAAGGCACATGCCTTTGACTGGAATCGAACCCGGGACCTTTCAGTCCGCAGGCTGACGCTCTGGCCACTGAGCCAAACCTGTTTTGGCCTGAAGAAGTTTTTAGTCTGTGGTTGGGCTGTTGGTTTAATCTGGCTCATGTTCACCGAGAGGGAGGACTGTTAATTGCAGTCATTAATTATGCATTTGTTCTTTAAAGTTTATTTCTGCCTTACTAGTTGCTAGCACTTGTCACATTTAAGTACTTATTTGTATTAATGAACTCCAGGAATCCTTCTCCGGGGAGGGTCATTGTTATCATATCCATAGAAAGGGAAGCTGAGGTACAGTCACAAAGGGCCTTGACGGATAAAAAGAGTGAGCAGGCTTAGTTTTCTGATGTGAGATGTAAGGTACATGATATTAAGAGCTTCTTAAGAAATACATGTTCTCATTGACCAAAGTGCCTCTCTTTACGCACATAATGTCCTTGGGCAATGTCACCCAGGGCCATAGTTGAACACCATGACGATTCCAGTTCTGCATCCCTGACCTTGACCGACAAGCATCCCTCATCTGTCTCCCTGGTTCCTGCCTTCATCTCCTGATGGATTGCCCTGCCTTTGGCCCCTTTTTGAGTTGTGGTCAGGGTGATCTTTCTAACATGGAATTTTGGCAGTGTCACCTTCCTGATTAAAATTCTCCCAGGGTTCACTGTGCACTAAAATGTGGGCTCCTGGTTCTTTGCCTTGTTCTGTGGCATGCCTTGCAGCTCTCCACAGCTCACCCTCAGTCCCACTAGTTGTCGTCGTCCAAAGGTGCCATGATCTCATGTCCCTGGACCTAGGAACTGGGTGTTCCTTCTGTCTAGGAAGTGCCCTCTCCTTGCCCGTCAACCCTGGTTTGCCAGACAAGCTGCACCTCATCCTTCAGGAGTTGGCTCACATCTTCTTCAACTAACCTCAACTGACATGGAATCATTTTCTCCCCACTTTGCATGGCTTCTTGTGTATTAAGCTGGGGTCGTATTGTCTTATCATGTTCTTGTTGCATCTCTGTGCCCTGCTAATCTGTGCCCTCCTAGAGGGTGACAACTGTGTCTTTTCAGCTTGGTATTTCTAGCCTGGCTCAATACCTGGACTGTCTATCCAGGCCATTACACTCCACGGAGGCAGAGAAGGCACCTGATTTATTCAGCACTGCGATGCCCAGTGTCTGGCCTAGGATCATACTTAGGACAGTGACACAAGGACCATTTCCCCTCCGGTTGTAAGTCTCATGGGGTCCCTTAGAGATTACAGGATACGTGCCTGTGGAGGAAAGGGAAGGGGAAGGGAATGGCACAGGGGTGCTCCCTGGAGGGAGAACGTCCAGAGTGAGTCTTTAAATATCAATGGTTATTAAATGTCCGGCCCCACTATGGTTTATTCCAGGGATTGTAACTGATGTGTCACCAGCATAATTGGGCTCTGAATATGTTTTCTGTGGCCTCACAGTATTTTAAAGTTTTAAAATTTGATGGCTGTAGATAGAACATATTCTCTCCTGTTTACCATGGTCTACACCACTTCATTGTCTCACTCATTTGTTGCCTGCTTGGTCCTGGGACACGTAGTTGAGAGGTGCAGGGAGTAGAGCAGTGTGCTTGTTTGTTATAACTAAATACCACAGATTGGGTGGCCTACACAAGAGGAATTTATTTTCTCACAGTCCTAGAATTCTGGAGGCTCAAAGTCCAGGATCAGGGTGTCGATCGGTTAAGTTTCTCCTGCATTCTCTTGCTCTGGCCACCTTCTCACTGGGTCCTCGCCTGGTTGTTCCTCGGTCTGTGTATGAATGTGTCCTAATCTCTCTCTCTCTCTTTTTTTTTTTTTTTAAATATATTTTATTGATTTTGTACAGCGAAGAAGGGAGAGAGATAGAGAGCTAGAAACATCTATGAGAGAGAGTCATCGATCAGCTGTCTCTTGCACACCCCCTACTGGGCATATGCCCGCAACCAAGGTACATGCCCTTGGGACCCTTCAGTCCCCAAGCCGACGCTCTATCCATTGAGCCAAACCAGTCTCGGCCTAATCTCTTCTTATAAGAAAGCACATCAATCATATTGGATTAGGGCCCACCTAGATGACCTCCTATCAGTAGTTAATGACCTCTCTAAAAGCTCTATCTCTAACTATAGTCATTCTGACATACAGGGGGCCAGGGCTTCAACACCTGAGTTTGGGGAACTCTGTTAATCTCATAACAGGCAAGAACACGAACACTCAAGTTCTGTGGCCTCTGCCTTGTGTCTGTTGCGTGTTTTATGTAACACATTAATAAAGAGGAACTCGGGAACCGTCAGGGAGAACAGTTTGACCCAGGCAGAATCTGGACAGGCGTAACTTGCACCTGCCCAGCACCTGGCCTACCCTCTGATCACCTTGATCTTGGGGCCATGTTCATGTTTGCTAAACAACTGACATTTAGTTAACATGCCAGGTAGAATTTAGGTGCTTTTCAGTTTGGAAATATATATCCTTTCACTCCGAAAACTGACATGCAGGCTGCAAAATTTCTTTGTCCAGGGTTCAGAGAACAGCGGAGGTAGAAGCCAGGTAATGACATGGCACCGCCTCCATTTGCAATAAGCAAACAGCTAGGTCCTTTATTACCCTTGAAGCTGGCATTCGTGACACAGGTTGGACTCAGAGAAGCAAGGCAGACGCCAAGTTTCTGTGGGTCAAAGTTCCTTCAACCACTGTATGTTAATCAAAAGCTCAACCTTAGTTAATTAGGCCATTGAGTTGGGGAGAACTTTGGAACGAATGATTGCTGAGTTGGACCACAGGCGTTAGCAGAATTCAGTATTTCATTTCCCAGAGGTAGGTTGTGGACTCATGGTCTTTCCTGGAGAAGGCAGGAGTGAGATTCTTGTGGAGTTTTGTTCATTCTTTGTGGGGAAGTAGCAGAAGGAAATCTTCTGTACAAGGCCTAGCTAATCAAGTGTATTTGCTTAAAAGAAGAGCTGAATAGTTATAAATGAGCTGATCCTGGCCTGCCCCCTCTCACAATCTGGGAGCCCTCAGGGGCGGGAGGTGACCTGGTAATCAGGGGAAGGCAATGCCCTATCACATCTCTGCTCCTGCCACTACCAGCAGCACAAGTCTTGGCTGGCCCTGGTTACCTGAGCATTGGGAGGCCCTGGGCATCTGGGCATCTGGGCATCTGGGCAGCCACCAACCGAGGCTTGCCTGTGCTCAGGCTGGCCCTGGATGTCTGGGGGGCTGAGAGTACTGGGTGCCGCCATCTTATGCCGCCATATTTGAGGGCGGGGCAGTCAATTAGCATATTCCCTCCTTATTGGCTGTGGGTGCCACCATCTTTGCAACAGCGTGAGGGCCAATTAGCCTATTCCCTCTTTATTAGGTAGTATTATATTAGTTATATATGGGCAAAAAAGCCAGATATACAGGGCTGCCAAAAATAAAGGAACATTTAAAACATTAACAGCTCATAATGCTGTTTTGAGTGTTTGGTGATTTAAGATCACAATTTAATGTGTCTCTGCAGAAAAAAATGGAAATGAATCCAATATCCATAGCTGCCCTCCATGAATGTTTTCTTTCACATGAGGCCCCACGGGCTTTGTATCTGTCATCTGACAATATTTACTGTCACAATGTCCTCCACAGGTGGGTTACATGAGGCCCAAATTAGATGAGTTAAAGGAGGCTCAGAGAGGTTGAATAAAATGCCCAAGATCCCCCAGGTGGCAAGAGGTAGAGCTGAGCTTTGAGCACTCGGAGAAACCTGCGATCTTCTCGATCTCCACCTCCTGATACATTTTCCTGCTCTCTCCTTGTAAGATTTTCTTTCTTGAATGTCCTTTAGCTAATATGAACCTGAATGGCCTAGCACAGTTGACCTATGTTCTCCATTATGTGCGCCAGTAGAAATTTACTATACTGTCTGGTTATGCAGCTGGCCCTGTGATCCATGCACACACTGAGATGTGTGATAATAATTAAACACTGTCTTTCTTCATCTAACCCCTCCTCCTCCATCCCTTTTAGCGGGCATCGATGGCATACCCCAGATTAGCGGGTCTCTGGTTCAGCGGTGTTTTCTTTTCCATTTCACAGTTCACGTAACAGAGGCCTTGGAAGGACGCTTTGCATCAGGACACCCCGCAGAGACCAGCCATTCCTGGGCTCCCGGAGAGGTCTGGTAAGTCGGCTGCCTCTTCACCTCGGCTCAGATGAACATGATCAGGGGAGGAGAAAAGTACTCAGCATTGCATATGACATTCACAGGCTAATCGCCCCCTTTTTTTGTTTTGTTTTGACCAACACATATGGTTCTGCTTCCGGGTGTTTGCTTAATTTACTAGGCCACAGTGCTCTGTGTATTTATAGGCATGAATGTCTCCAGAAGATTCCATAGTCACAAAGAATGACAGAAGCTATATTTGAATGACTTTGTTTAAACGCTTTTAATAACGAGTTTTTCCTGTAGTGTTTACTGCATTTCATCAGCTGAAGAATGTGTTTCCATCCCACAGTTTAACATGTCTGAAATTGAGGTGCATCTTCTGGAACTTAGACGTGGTGAAACATAGTGTTTCTCTGATAATCCCCAGTGACCAATGTCAAGTGTTTTCTACCTCCTGTTTTTCACAGAGTTCGAATATTGGTTTTTTGTTTTTTTTTAAAAAGGTAGGAAGTGAATATTTTTTTCTGTTCAAGAGTGAGTCCATAAAAATTTAGTCCTTACCAAAGAAAGAATTTAGGATTCTCATACTGAGAGAAAAAAACAATTTCTTCCAGATGACCATTCTGATATTAGTGGCGATGGCACTCTGCTGAGAACAGCCCAGAATCAGACACTCTTCTCCAAAGCCAGGTCCCCTGGAGCAGTCCACATCACAGGACTTGCAACTGAAATACTGTGCTGTGCCTTCAGCATGGTTTGTCAGCACTCGTGGGTCTGTGAATGAGTTCAAGTTGGCAATACTCCCCAAACTACATGGGCCTGATTTTTATGGACTTGAAGATTTTCAGACCCTCCCCTCTGGAGGATAGAAAACTAAAGCTGAAATCAGTAGGCTACAGGTAAATGAGTTAACAAACATTTTCTGAGCACCTGCTATGTGCCACAGTCTGTGCTAGGCACTGGGTAGTTAAGAGATGAAGGCAGACAGGATTGGATTTCTGTCCTCAGGAAGCTAGCAGGTCTAATACTCAAGGCAGACATTAACTAATAAAAGAATAGTGAGTAGATTGAAGAAGTGTAAGGAGTTAAGGAAGTTGGAAATTGGAGGCCTTAACCTCATTGTCGGTGGGAGGGGCAGCTACCAGGGAAAGTTTTTTGGAATTTAAGTGGTATTTTAACTGAGACCCGGAAGGAGAAGGAATGGTTGAGAGGGAGATGGGGGGCAGATGATAGTGACTGCACCAAGTGAGAAACAGCCTTTCCTTAGGGTCTCATAAAAGGCAAGCCAGTGTCGGGTTCAAGATTTCACATGAACCTAATGAGGAAAGGATTCAGATAAACAGAAGTCTATTGTAAGGACTTGGTCAAATTTCAGGAAGAGTCTTTAAAACCACTTAGAGATTTATTTCAAACTGATGATCAGATTTTTTTTTTGTCTTCTTGTGGTTCAGACATAAATTCTTTCTTTTCTATCAGCGTTATTTCCCCGAGCTGGATCTCAAGTCCTGTTTTCCTGCCAGTCCTTTGAATTCTCTCCAGATCTGTGTCTGAATTTCCCTCACTTCCCTCCAACAGGGATGCACTCAGCTTCCAGTGAGAGATTGCTTTCATCAACAAATGTGTTGTTTTCTTCTTTTCTCTACTTTCCTGATGGTATCAGGAAAGGGTCATCATTGGCACGATTCCCCCCACCCAAAGGCCAGATTCTTAAAAATAGATGGCTTACCTAGAACAGACAGAGACCAGCTACTTGAACCTGATTTTATAAAAAAATCAAATATATATATATATATATATATATATATATATATTTTTTTTTTTTTTTTAAATATATTTTATTGATTTTTTACGGAGAGGAAGGGGGAGAGATAGAGAGCTAGAAACGTCGATGAGAGAGAAACATCGACCAGCTGCCTCCTGCACACCCCCCACTGGGGATGTGCCCGCAACCAAGGTACATGCCCTTGACCGGAATCAAACCTGGGACCTTTCAGTCCGCAGGCCGAGGCTCTATTCACTGAGCCAAACCAGTTAGGGCTAAATAGCTAAACATTTTGAATGCTGACCCTTTTCTACTCATCATAGCCTAGATTTCTATTCCAAGGCAGTTAATAAATTAAAAGGTAGACATTGTTTAATCTTCAGATTGAAAATACAAGTTGATTTTGAAAAGGAGGAAAGGTAGGTTTTCTATTGTGAATGGCTCTTCATGCTTCTGAATGATAGCTACAATTTAGCGGTTGCAGATCATCTTAGAAACAGATTTCCCCCAAATCCCTAAAATTTATCCGAAGGTAGACATTTTAGAAAATGACTTTCCTATAATTTTTTTCCCCCAAGATGGAAAATTGTAACTCAAAGAGGGCTTAAGGTAAGCTTTGTACAACTCCTGTGGTCTGTATGAAGGAAACTTACTAAAGAACTAATACACGCAAAGGTCAAGCAAAAGCGTTGAAACAGATTCTCTTTTGTTTAGTCACTACCAATAAGGACCTGTCACCAAGTGACACCAGGATGTTGAAGACAATCCCTACAAGCAGATTTTAAATGTGATTTTTCTGCTTTTCCACTTGAACATAGAAGCGATGTTTTTCCATCACATGTTACTTTTTTTAATATTTACTTGGTACCATGTAACTTATTACTACACAGAGGGGGAATAAAAGCCTGTTTATTAAACCTACAAAGTTTAATAAACCTACAAAGGACCCCCACAGGAAAAGATACGAAAGATATGGGGGCAGGTATAGAGGGATACAAAGCTGCTTCATACATGATCTTTGCCCCAGAGGAGTTTAAGAGGAAATAGCTATAATAATAAAAGGGTAATATGCTAGTTGGACTGGACGTCCTTCCTGATGAAGCTGGGGCCTGAGGGAGGCCAGCCCAGGTCCTGGGTATCTGCTGGCGGCCAGAGGAGGGGAGCAGCCCAGGTCCCAGGCTCGGGTGCCGGAGGAAGCCCGTGCCGTCAGCCAGGGAAGAAAGGCCTACTCCTGCGCACATTTTTATGCATCGGGCTTCTAGTTAATAATAAAACAGGAGTTTGAACAAGCAACATCATAACTCACATATTTAATGGCATGTTTGAAAATGCAGTGGAAGTTAATGGATCCTCTTTTCTCATCCGTATCCACATGTACCAGAGAGTAAATTCATCGCTTTGTTGTCTGGACATGTTACTTTTTTTCTGATCTCTGATCCAGTTGAACAGAAGTAACCCTGAAGTCCTTGGCAGTTTATAACGATCCATATGTAATTACCATGGTGATACAAGCTGAAGAACTTTCCAAAAAAGACTTAGTGTCAGAGTAATCGGGCCCAGCTCACCCATAGCCCGTTGTAGTTACTGTCAACCAACCAGTGACTTCAGAACAAGGCATTTCTGTAACTAAGATGATCCCGAGGTTGTTTCCCAGAGCCAAATGGACAAAGGTTTGGGAAAACGGATTCTCATAGGGAATAACAAGCTTTCCCGGGGGGCGGTTTGTTGGGGGGCAAATTGGATGATTTCCCTTTAAAATTATTTCATCCACACGGGAAAAGGTTTCATATGGCAAAAGTTTCGTAGAGCTGGCGGTTCCTTTGGCAGTCTGCTCCTTGATGACTTGCTGTTTGTAAAACCACCTAACCTGTTTTTAAAACGGAGAAGGTAGAGTGGTTGGCTGTGGGCCATGACCCAACCAATGACATGATGGCTGACAAGCGGACGTCCACCTACAAAAGGAGGACTGTCTTCCTAAAAGGAAGAGGCTTATTCCCAGGAAGGACGAGGAAGAGGAAAGCTGTGAGCATCAACAAGATGTGTGTGTCTTTTGGCAGAATAACAAGCCAACGATGGCATTATGCTTTGTTGGAGGACATTGGATGCTGTGGAAAGCAGGGAGAATTCTCCAAGGTCATGAGGCTGGAATCGTGGCTAAAGTCAGCATCGACCCTTTAGGCAAATTTCATAGGCACCTCTCAAAAGTCAGCCCTGAAGTTTCCAAGAACGAGGTCTTCAAACTGTCATTAGATGTGTATCAACGCTATGCTGCATTGGGGCCTCAGCCAAGGCTGTGCTTTGGTCCATGCAGTTTGCCCTCCCCGCTGGGGTAGCAGTTGCTTCAGGAAGGGCAGACAGAAATGGCATGTCTGATGTGTGATATTTATCTTTCTCTGACTGGCTTATTTTGCTTTGGCCATACTCATGGGTGTCTTTGCTGCCAAGAAATAACAGTAACAGAACAAGCACATTGCTTTATTAAGAATAACAAAAATTGCTGAAACCGGTTTGGCTCATTGGATAGAGCGTCGGCCTGCGGACTGAAGGGTCCCGGGTTCAATTCCGGTCAAGGGCATGTACCTTGGTTGCGGGCACATCCCCAGTAGGGGGTGTGCAAGAGGCAGCTGATCGATGATTCTCTCTCGTTGATGTTTCTAACTATCTCTCTCTCTTCCTCTCTGTAAAATAATCAATAATAAAAAAAAAAGCACACACACACACACACATATATATGAATAACAAAAATTCTATCTGCAAAATAAGTTAGGTCCTTATGAAACTAAGGTCAAGTTCAATAAAATGGACATTTTAAGGAAAGAATGGAGTGGTTATTAAAGACTCAGGCTGGGGTGAAAGGGAGCTGAACAGACTTTTACATCTAGGCAGGTGAGTAGCTACTGATTCTGTCCATCTCCATTTGTGCAGACAGCCACTAAATGATCCTTAGAATCATAACATGTTAGAGTTAAAAAGGAACTCTAGAGGTGATGGTGAAAATAAATGATAAATAATGATAACATTTATTGAGGGCTCACTCAAAAGAAACCTTTTACTTGCATTGTCTCTCTTTTTTCTTTCTTCATTGATTAAGGTATTACATATGTGTCCTTATCCCCTCATTGTCCCCCCACTCCCCCCACTCATGCCCTCACCCCTTAGTGTCTGTGTCCTTGGTTAGGCTTATATGCATGCATACAAGTCCTTCGGTTGATCTCTCCCCATTACCCCCACCCTCCCCTACCTTCCCTCTGAG